TTCCCGCCAGAGCGAGATGTCGATCTTGCTCGGTTGGATGAAGTCCCGGCCGATAAGCAGGCCGAGCGTGGGGCTGTCCACGACGCTGAATATTATGCGACCAGCGCGGCCACACAGGACGAGTGGGGCTGTGACGCGCATCTTGCTCGGGAGCGTGCCACCGTTCCCGAACCTGTAGACTTCGTTCTCTGGCTCCTCCAGGATCTGGTCGGCCAGACCCATCTTGGTGAGCTTCTCCTTGTACTGCTTGTACCAGCTGAGCCCGCCAACGCAGAAGAGACAGGCAGTGTCGATCACGCCGACGCCGTCATCGTTGGGCTTCTCGCCAGCGTTGGTGGTGTTTATGGTGGGCAAGTCTGGCACCACGCGCTCGGAGACCAGAGTCTCGGGGGGCGGGGTAGTCGGACCTTCTGGATGAAGAATCACTTCCTCGTCACCAAACTCCACGTGATTCTGGTCGTGGACCTGCTCGGTGATGTTGGCCTGGCGGTGCGAGCGACCTCCGCCGCCTCGTCCTCCGCCCTTTTGCTTAGAATTTGGGGCGAACTTTCGAGCCCCTGGTGTCGGGCACTCCTTGTCACCGGTCCAGTGCCCCGCCTCGCCGCAGTCCCAGCACTTGGAGTTCTTCTTGCGCTGGTCCACGCGGCCTTGTAGCTTGCCCGCGGGTCGGCGCTTGGCCGAAGCCTTCCCGCGGCCCTTGATAGCTTCTCGGGCCGACCGTATGGTCGCCATGGCCTCGGGAATCGCGGCGAGCTCCGCCGCGGCAGCCTCCACCTTAGCAGAGTCGTCCCGATCGAACACCTCGTCGAGGTCGTAATTTGACTGCTCCAGCTCGGCGCTGAAGGCCTCGAGCTCCTGGCGCACGATGTCCTGGACGTCTGCCTCCGTATCGTTGTCGTCGCCGTCCTCCGAGTCCTCATGCTCGTCTTCTGGCTCGTCAGCGATGTTGGCTGATCGTGCTCGGCTTGGCGGTGAGCGCTGCCAACTACTGTTTGATCGCTGCGGCCACGATCGTGACGGCAAGCTCGCGTGTCGTTCAGATGTGTGAATATCGGGGAACATGCGCACCAGCAGGCCCCTGATGCGCTGAAACGAGTAGTGCTCGTCCGGCAAGTTGCCCACGACGCGCTCACGGCGCTCGGCCGTGAGCCCAGCCTTGCGTGGCAGGAACCAGCCGGCCACGTCGTCAAGCGTAGTGAGGTCAACCTCGTTCTCACGTAATTGCTGTAGTCCCGCCTCGAATCGCACGAGCCAATCCGTCATGCGTTCTCCACGGCGGCGATGGTGCTGAGTCGACTCGAAGAACCTTTCAAGCGTCTCTCCCTTCTGCACCGGCTTCTGCTGGCCTAGGTTTGCTTCGAGGTGCATCAGTACGTTCTCGATGCCCTTCTGGTTGCGATCGCGCTTCTTCTCGTTCGCATCCTCGATGCCGTCGTCCGGCGGCGGGTGGAGCTCCTGCTCCGTCATGTTGAGAGCGGCCGACCTGGCTGTACCCGTCAGACGCAGGACTAACTTCGATGCCAAGCTTTGTGTCACTTCCAAATTCTCACTGAGCTTCCACAATTTTACCTCCTGTTTGTAATCTCGCCATTTCGCTGGATCTCCATTCCAGCTTGGTATCACTGACTGGTTGTGTGTGAACTCCGTCATCTTGACACCTTCGTAGGTGAAGTATGTGGCGTCGCTGACACCGTCGTAGTAGAAGTATATGGCGTCGCTGACACCGTCGTAGGAGAAGTATATGGCGTCGCTGACACCGTCGTAGAGGAAGTATATGGCGTCGCTGACACCGTCGTAGAGGAAGTATATGGCGTCGCTGACACCGTCGTAGAGGAAATATGCCGCGTCGCTGACACAGGCGTAGGAGAAGTAGCTGTCGTCGCTGCTGAGGGTGGGAAAGAAGATGGAGTCGCTGGCGTCGCTGACGCTGGCGTTGGAGCTGGCAGGGATGTAGGCGTAGTAGGCGTAGTCGCTGGCGTCGCTGACGCTGGCGTTGGTGCTGGCGTCGCTGACGCTGGCGTAGGCTGGCGTCGCTGACGCTGGCGTAGGTGCTGGCGTCGCTGACGCTGGCGTAGGTGCTGGCGTCGCTGACGCTGGCGTAGGTGCTGGCGTCGCTGACGCTGGCGTAGGTGCTGGCGTCGCTGACGCTGGCGTAGGTGCTGGCGTCGCTGACGCTGGCGTAGGTGCTGGCGTCGCTGACGCTGGCGTAGGTGCTGGCGCTGAGCAACAGCGCGAGGAGACCGCTGGGCCTCGATTCCAGTATGGAGCGCGACGTCGCAGACGTCGTCTTGGGTATGCGGCCCCGCGGGCCGGGATAGCGAGCCTCGCTCCGCTACCACTGTGATATGGATGGCGCGCGCGGCGCGACGATCTTTAGGCGAAAGAGAGCGCTGCTCAATCTATCTGCGTAGCTCTAAGGCCAAGGGCCCTAGTTCGAAATAAAACGGCAGCGGCACGAGCGGGCGTGAGGGATAGAGCGGGGATGCAGGAAAGGCACGGGGAGTGAGCGGGAATCACAGGGTCGACGCCCCAGGGGGAGTTCTTTTGGAAAAAGAGCCGAATCCTAAACTGAAAGGGTCTAGCACGCCAGGCACCCCTGCGATGAATCGACAGGGGGCGGCGGATCGAATGGCATTCGGCCCATCCCGACATCGTGAATGGGTTGTGGGGGTGAAGACTATTGGATGTACGTTGGGATCTCGTAGGGGGCTTCTCGGGGGCCTCGTGGATGCAGTTTGGACGCCTCTTGGGGGCCGTTTGACGGCCTCTTGGGGCCTCTGTTCGACCTTTTCGGGGCCTTTTGGAGTTTCGTTTCTTGGCGGCCTCTTGGAGCCTCCTGGGCGGCTCTTGGGGCTTCCTGGGGGCCCCTTAGGGCGGAAGACTCGGATGGTCGGTTCGTGCTCCTTCTTTTGGGTCCCTTTTGGGCCCGTTTTGGGTCCTTCTTGGGCAGTTTTGGGCGCCTCTTGGGCTGTCTTGGGGCCCTCTTGGTCCGTTTTGAGGCGCTCGGCCGTCTTGGGCGCCTCTAGGGCCGCTTGGGAGCGTCGGGAAGCCGAAACCGGCGAGAACGCCCAAATCCTTCTAACCCCTGAGGGGGATCACTGATTTGGGCCTCTTGGGGCCGACTTGGGAGGCCGCTTGGAGGCATCTTTGGGCGTCTTGAAGGCATCTTGGGCAGTCTGGGGGCCAACTTGAGCGTCTTGGGGCGATCGTTCGGCGTCTCGGGGCCTCCTTGGACCGTCGTGGGGGCTTCTTGGGGCCCTCTTGGCCCGTCTTGGGGCCCGCTAGGGTCCGAAACAGTCCTGCGACAAGACGCGGGGGAACCGCCGTGGAACGCTGGCAGCCGCAGAATACCGAACCCTTCAAGAACTCGTCAGGGGTGACGACTGAGGCTCAGAGGGGTGGTGGAAGGACTTGAGGACACGCCCGCTCCGTGCCCAGCGGCACGGTGGCGGATGTTATGGTATGGTCGGTTATGTTCTGTCATGGTGTACAGCGTCATGACATGTTTATTCGAACATGGTGTGCTATGGTGTGGTGCGCTATTCCAGTTCAGTCAAGTTTGTTTCGTATGTGATGTAGTATAATCGTTGCCGTAGTGGTAGCAGTCGTAGAACACCTGACTTACGTTCAGCGCTGGTGCGGTCTACCTCACCATGCCCGGCAATTACCTAGTATGAGTTGTTATGTTATGGTGTGATCGCTTCACGGTAATATGTTATGCAGTGGCATGCTATAGCATGTTGTGGTACGTGACGGCGTGTCTAGTTATGGTATGATGTGTTGTTCTTTGTTTTGGGCATCGCAAAATGTGATGGTTCTGCATGGTCTGCCATGCAAGTTTGCTGTCATCGTACGTTCATCCTGAGATGGGCCCCGCCTTGCCGCGTGTTCTCGGTGACGGTTCGCCATGGCTCTTTGGTGACGGTGCGTCGTGACGCCCGGACGGCGTGGCGTCTCCCTCTTGGAGCTGCCTGGTATGCAGGATGCCGTCATTCGTCGAGGACGCGAGACGTGCTCCTGGGATCCTGTGGGGTCTGGTGTCCGCGGTGTGGTGTCGTCATTCGACGGGGACGCGAGGCGGGATGCACAGGGACTCCTGGGATGCTGTGGGGTTTTGCGGCCGCGGTGTGCAGGTGGGCGCACGGGAGCTTTCAGATATAACATCTAACAGTCCCAATTTGTCGGATGGGGAACAATACAGCCAACCGAACAAATATTTCAAGAGAGCCGTCGGGAGTGGCCTCGGCTCACGAATCTGTGTCCAGAATGTTGGTTGTGGTTGTTTTATGGTTGTGACGTTTTTCCTATGGCTTCTGACGCTCCAGCCTCGTGCTCCGAAATGCACGCCCAGATCAAAACCTTGAGGATCTTAGAGCCCGCAGCGCCCGCATCAGCCCATCCGAAGGCTCTCCAGAGCGGTGTGTGGGCCTCCGCCTCGTGCTACCTGTCTCTTTCTCATCATCCCCCTCCGTCTCATAACTCGTCCTCCTCCATCGTCCCCTCCCTTATTTTCTGTGGCCTCGTCCTCATGATCATCCACAGCTGCTGCTGTCGCTGGTGCCCTTTCCCCTCATGAGAAGGAGGAAGGAGATGGAAGAGCACTAGGATTTCCTAAGGATCCCTGGGGATCCCTTGGAATCCTGAGCATTCCCTGGGATTCCGAGGACAGCGGCTGGAGGCGAGGAAGACGTGAGCATGGTGGATGGGGCAGGCGGGAAAGCGAGCGGGGGGTGGGATGGGGCTTGGTGCGACAAAGGAAGAGGATGGGTAGAGGGGCTGAGGGAGGGGAGCGGGGGGGAAGGGCGCGAGGAAGAGGATGACGTGGAAGCGGCGTATGGCAGCGTCCGCCACCCAACTCCGCTGTCACCAGGGAGGGGGCAGCGTGAGGAGCCGCGGCGCGGGAGATCGGCAGCATGCGGCGGCATGGGCAGGCAAGCGCCAGGGAGGCAAGCAGCGCGAGGAGGGGGCGAGGAGCTGCCCGCCGCGCCGCGGGCCCTCAGGCCAGCACGCCGCTCTCCTCGCTGTACCCGCGCGCCGAAGGCCGCGAGCGGGCCCTCGCCCGCCCCCCGCCGGGGCTGGACCCACACGCTGCTCTGCTGGCCTTCGGCTGTGCTATGTTGTTCGTTTGGGGGGGGAGGAGGTGCAGGAAGCCAGGCAGAGCAGCACGAGCAGCAGGACGAAGCCGAGACGAACACAGCACAGGTGGAGCAGAACGGACAAACGAGACGAACACCACACGACCGCCGACCCTCTTCCGCCCCCCGCCGACCCTCGTCCGCCCCCGCCCCTCCGCGGCTCCGCCGCCCGCGCCGTTCGCGCAGCCTCGGCCGCGCGCGGCCTCGCCCGGAGGACGCCGCTGCCGCGCCCTGTCCTGCACCGCCGCCGCTGCCCACGACGACGGCAACGACGACGACGACGTCGGCGACGGCGCCGGCGACGACGGCGACGGCGACGACGACGTCGGCGACGGCGACGTCGGCGACGGCGACCACGACGACGGCGACGACGACGTCAACGACGACGACGACGTCGGCGACGGCGACGGCGATGACGGCGACGGCGATGGCGACGACGACGGCGACGACGGCGACGACGGCGACGACGGCGACGACGGCGACGACGGCGACGACGGCGACGGCGACGGCGACGACGGCGACGACGTTGGCGGCGGCGGTGGCGGAGCCGTCCGCTGCTCCTCCGCGCGCGCCAGCGCCCTCTCCCTGCCCTCTGCTCGCCCTCCTCCCTGCCATGCTCCACCTCGGGATCGTGCTGTTGATTTACCAGCCTCGAACGTATCCCTATCCCTAAGATCGACACGCCAAAAGGCGATGACAATCTTAGGGATTCGCCCTCCAAAAATAAGGGAATCCCTAAGATCGCCATCGTGACGAGGCGATGCCCAACATAGGGATAGGGATATGTTCCAGGCTGGTAATTGATGGTTCTCTGCCCTCCTCTTCGGCCCCGCCCTCCCCAAACGTGCTGGCGCCGCGACACTACGCGACGGGACATGTCTTGGGCTGTGTTCAGCCTCTGGTGGCCTTCGCTGGGCTGCGGGACCGTCACATAGACGATCCGGGGATGAAACGTCGGCCCGGGGGAAAGGGCCAGGGCTTCCGGGGAATTCGGGGGTGGACAGAACCCCCAACAGTGACACGTCGATTAGTGAATTGTCCGTTTTCGGTTCTCGAGAGGGCGCCGTGGCCGTTATTTTCCAGGCTTGCGCCCGCCAGGTTTGGGCCTCAGGTCGTTTTCACTAAACCACGTTTTACTAAAGGGGGGTCTGTCCATCCCCGAGAAGTTCGTGTTGAGAAAATCAGGACATCACATGTTTGGGTCATTTTCCGGCGAGCTCCTCCTGAAACTCCTTCCGTGGTGGGTGCCCCCCTTCCCCCGCCTGCTTGACGCAGCCGCCCTCTTCCTCATTCTTTCTCTTGCTGCCGGTGAACCAGTACGCCGCGCGTCGCTGGCCACTGGAGCGCGCGAGCGGATCGCCTCCTGCCGCGCCACGACGGACAAACAGTCTGGGGCCATCCGGTGCGGCAGCTCTGCGCCCATCCCCACCGTCGCAGCAGGGCCTGTCCTGGGAGCGTCACTGGCGCCGGCTTGGGACACTCGAGAGTTTTTGTCAGCTACACTCTGCACGAACGAGATGGGCACGGAAAGAATGGGTACAATGCCCAACAGCAGTTCCTGTTCATTTAGAACAGGACTCGCTGTCCGTTCCGCCGCGGCCTGTGTCCATTCGAGACAGAAGGCCGCCTGCCCAACAGCGCCCGCTGTTGGTTTAGGACAGCAATAGTTGTTGGGCATTGTGCCCATTCTTTCGGTACCCATTTCGGGTGTCCAAATACACCCATCAGAATCTGAACGAAAAAACAGCAACTGTCATGGACTCCAGACTTCGTCTACGGAAGCCCAGAACTTGGACTGGACCCTTAGCGTTTTATGTGAGCTGCTTTTCCCGTAGACTGTTCGTCCATCTGGACCTGGACGATTATTTGAGAAAGCGTTCGGACAAAACCCATTTTGTTGGCTCAAATGTGTTGTTCAATCTTAGCAGGGGGTAGGCCATGGGGCTAGGTGTGAGGATAAAGGGGGGAAAGATGAGGATAGATCGCTTCACAGCGTTGAACGGCCGCGATGCCCGACACATATCCAGATCTGCCAGTTCTCAGATATACCCGACTTCTGTTGGTCCGAATGTATCGTCATCTTGCTTTCTGCCTCCGTCTTGCGGGAGTGAAGAGCCGGCGTGAACCTAGCTGATGTTGCAGCCACCGGCCAGGGTAAGCCTAGCGGGGCACAGCTGTCGCACGATGTGCTCTACCGCGTTGCTTCAGCCATGATTGCAATACAGGGGGATGATGCAGAAATTACCAGGGGTCGTGCTCACGCGGCAGCGCCCAGGATGATGACTAGAAAAACGGCCCCCCCGCCGGGAAACTACGTACTTTGTAATCGTCCTCCCCCGCCCTCCTCGGGCGCGCCTGTATCACGTTCCCCCTGTGTCACGCCTGGCCCCCCTCGGGGCTCTGGAGACCTCTCCTCTGGAGATCCTCCTGGGATCGTCCTGGGACCCGAAGACCTCCAGATGGCCTCCTCCCTCCCTTCTCCTCCTCCGTCCCTCCCTCCCTCCCTCCCTCCCTCCCTCCCTCCCACCCTCCGCCCTCCCTCCTCCCTCCTCCCTCCTCCCTCCTTCTCCTCCCTCCTCCTCCCTCCTCCTCCTCCTCCTCCTCCTCCTCCTCCTCCTCCTCCTCCTCCTCCTCCTCCTCTTCGTCCTCCTCCTCCTCCTTTCCCAACCGTCTTCCTGGCTGCGTTGCCAGCTGTGCTCTCGCGGTCGAGGCTCTCCGAGGTACCTCTTGTGGCCCAGTCCTGGGGAGCGCGCAGGGCGGGCTCCGCTTCGGCGGCCGGGGTGCTGACCCAGAGGAGGAGGAGGAGGGGGAGGAGGAGGAGGAGGAAGAAGAAGAAGAAGAAGAAGAGGAGGAGGAGGAGGAGGCGGAGGCGGAGGAGGAGGAGGAGGAGGAGAGGGAAGAGAAGGAGGAGGAGGAGGAGGAGGACGTTGTCGTTGTCGCCCGTGGGCATCCTGGGAGGCCTTCGTCGCCACCGCTGGGTTTGCCTCGAAAGCCTGGTCATAACGCACCCTGGGAGAAGTCCGTGGAGTAGCTGTACCGGTAGCGCTTGGTTTCCCCACTGGCGCCGCCTTGCGTGCACCTTTTGGATCCCAGGGTAGCCTTGCGAGCAGCTGGCATCGAAGCAGTCGACCTTATCCTTGCTTCATGTGTTCCTCCTTGTCCTGCTCATCCTGCTCTTCTTCTCGTGTTGCCGCACTTCGACGCTCAGAGGGCATCTCGAGGCGCCCCTGGTCGGACGAAAATGCTTTTCCTCCTCATCATATTTGTCCGCTGTTCACAATTGCGCACGATTTGCTTTGTGCAGTATCCGCGACCCCCTGTGATTTGAGGTGCTCTTGCCCGACGCTAGGCCTTCTCCTCATCCCCCCACATCTTGATCTGCTCCGCTTCTGTCTCCCCCCCACCGCGTCGCAGCCAACTGCCTGGACCTCGTTCGGGGGCTGCTGCGCTGGGACCCGAGCCGCCGGACCACCGCCGCCAGCGCCCAGGCCGGCCGCCGACCGCGAGCGCCCAGGGAAGGGCGGGAGGAAGGGGCGGGTAGACGGCGCGGGGGGGGAGGGTGCCGATGACACGGGCCGTTCGAGTGCCCCAGCGCGCAGGCGAAAGGGGGGAGCTACCCTACGCCATCCTCCTCATTCCGAAGAGCTACTCAGAGGAGGAAGAGGTACCCAAACCGCTACCCGTGCCGCGTTTTCCCTTTTTTGGGGGGCCTCCAGGGCGGTCCTCGTCGCCAGCGCTGGATTCGCCTCGACATCCCGGTCAGAACGCACCCCAGGAGAGGTCCGGGGAGTGAACCTTTTGGTTTCCCCAGCTCCAGCTCCATCGCGGAGCTATTTGTCTCTCTCGAAGGTTCCATCGTCTTTGGAAAGGGGTGGGTGGAGGGGCGCATGCCTGGCGGACGCGTGGGCAGAGTGAGTCCAACAGGTTCAGCGCCAGATGCAAGAGTGCACAGGCACGGGAAGAAGAAAGAGACGGGACCAGAGAGGGCAGGCGCGGGGGGGGGGGGGGGGCAGGGTGGGCAGAGGACAACATTACAAACACCCATACACAGATTTTGCCCGAGCTATCGGACCATGTGTTCCCCCAGTGTTCCCCCCAGCCGTTGTGGAGACCCTTCGGGGAACATTTGGGGGAGGATGGCGGGGAAGATCAGGAGGAGGAGGAGGAGGAGGAGGAGGAGGAGGAGGAGGAGGGGGCATGTTGGGAGCCTCTGGAGGCGCTCGTGGGGCCTCCTTGGGGCTTCCTGGGGGCCGTTTGAACACATCTTCGGGGCCTTCTTGGGTCTCTTGGGGACATTTGGGGGCCTATGGGGGGCCCCTTTGCCAGTTTCAGGGCGTCCCTGGCCGGTCGGAAGCCGTCTTGGGGGCCTCTCTGAACAGACTTTGGGTCCCTTTGCAGTGCTCGAGGGGCGTCTGGGAGTCCATCTTGGTCATCTTGGAGGCCTCTTGGGCGTTCTGGGGGAGGCCTCTTGGGCGAACTTGTGGTGATCTTGGGGGGCTCTTGAGCCGTCTCGAGCCGTCGGAAGACATAAAAGAAACACATGCCACACTTTCTTTAAAACCTGAGGAACTTCAGTGTTTTTGGCCTTCCTGGAGGCCCTGTTTGGGGCCTCTTGGACCGTCTTGGAGGCGTCTCGGGGGCCTCATGGGCCATGTTGGGTCGCCTGCGGATCGTGCGGCCTTCCGGGTGGCCGGCAGCATGCGCCGCAGCCCCAGGGGGGTTCTTGTGGAAACCAAGCCGTCTAGGGTCTAGCACGCCAGGCACCCTTGTGATAAATCTACAGTGGGCAGCGGGTCGAAGACGCCCACGGCGTATCACCGCCGCCCCCTTCCCTTTCGGGAGCGCCTATGTGGCCGAACGTTGTGGCCAGAGGCCTGCCAAGCTATCGGACCATGTGTTCCCCGAATCGGTTTGGAAAGCTTTCGGGGAACACGTGGGAGAGAATGAACATGATGAGGAAGAGGAAGAGGCCTCTTGGGCCGTCTTGAGCCGTCGGAATGGCGAGAAGAAACACATGCCAACATCCTTGAACCGCTTAGGGAAAATTAGTGATTTGGGTCTCTTCGGGCCCTCTTGGAGGACTTCTTGGAAGCCTCTTGGGCTGTCTTGGAGGCCTCTTGGGGGCCTTTTGGGCCGTCTTGGGCAATATTGACGCCATCTTAGGCCGTCTTGGAGGCATCTTGGGCCGTCTTGGAGGCCATCTTGGGGGGCGAAGCTATCGGACCATGTGTTCCCCGAGAACACGTGGGGCAGGAAGAGGGAGAGGGGGAGAAGGAGGAAAAGGAGAAGGGGGAGGATGCCTCGTCGGAGCCTCTCGAGGTACTCTTGGGCTCGATTGGGCCATCTTGGGACCGTCTTGGAGGCCATGTTGGTGCTGTCTTGGGCTCTCTTGGAGCCTCTTGAGGGCCTCTTGGGGCCTTCTTGGGGCTTCTCGGGGCCTCTTTGGCCGTCTTAGGGCGTTTCTGGCCCGTCTGACGCCGTCGGGAGCCGTCTTGGGGGCCTCTCTGAACCAGCTTGGGGCCCTCTTGGGGCGCTTCGGGGCCGTCTTGGAGGCCATCTTGGGAGTCTTGGAGGCCTCTTGGTCCGTCTTGGAGCCCTCTTGGGGCCGTTTTGGTGGCCTCTTGGGCCGGCTTGGGGTCCTCTTGGGGCGCTTCGGCGCCGACTTGGAGGCCATCTTGGGCGTCTTCGAGGTCTTTTGGGCCGTCTTGGGGGCGTGTTGGAGGCCTCTTGGGCCGTCATGGGGCCCCCTTGGAGGCCTCATGGGCGATGGTGGGGCGATCTTTGGCGGCCTCTTGAGCCGTCGGAATGCCAAGAAGAGGCAAATGCCAAAATCTTTCAAACACCAGTAAAAACGCAATAATGCTGGCATCTTCGGGCCCTCCTGGAGCACTTCTTGGAGGCCTCTTGGGCCGTATTGAGGCCTCTTGGGCCGTCTTGGGCCATTTTGAGGCTATCTTTACGTCATTTTGGGTACATCTTGGGCTGTCT